CCCCCCCCCCCGTTAACTCTTTGTTTTCCAGCCCAAAAGAGTCGCCTGCTGCACCCTCCAAATGAAGTGTTACCAAGTGAGAATCTGTATTTTCATATAGAGTTTGGTGCCATAAAGTTTCACACGACATCATCCGGGATGCAGTGACAAGAGGAGTAGAAACTCTCCTGAGGGTGACGGAGACTTCTCCTCCTCCTTCCCATCTTGGGTGATTTGTGTAAGCAACCTCCACTTGCTCTCCAAACATGCATCCTTGCGAAGCGCCGCGGTGTGAGGTGTGATGTCAACGCTGAGCTCTCGCTGCTCCCCAGATCAGTCTCAAGGAGGATCGACGAGAGGCTGAAAACTTCCAAGAAGCTCAAAGACGTCCACCAGACACGCACGTTTGCATCCTGAAAACAGGTGAGCGATTAACAGCCACAAATCAACGTTATCAATGTGTGTTTGTCACAATTTTATCACTTAATCCTTCCACTCTTGTGCCATTAGGCCCGACTGTGACTCCTTTCTCTCTGCGTCTGAGCACATATCTTTACGCTGTTATCAGATTATTTTAGGAATGGTCTCGTTCCACTGCATTACTATATTTGTACGTGTTTTTCCCCCCTTTCTGTTTCTGCGCCCTGCTGGTTGCTGAGATACACTACTTGAGACAAACATCTCCTTGCACGGCTGCTCGGTTTGTGTCTCCTAAGACTCTCACAACTGTTTGTATTTGAATCACTGCAATGTGATTGTATGCTCTGTGACATTTGCTCATTGTTTAGTGTAAATAACTCAAAGTGTCTAGTCTGTGCAGATAATTCAAACATTTTCAATTCTATGTGAATAATCTGTGTTTCTGTGTATTTGTCTCTGGTGCTTTTTTTTTTTTTTGCACCATCCAGTAGATTTGCTCCTCAAACATGGAGTCAAAAACTGATGTTGGATCAGCATCGGTGACCAGCGAAGAACTGGCTGCTGTTGAGGATGAAGAGGTTCTCAACAAGATGGTAAGATTTTCTTTCATCACTCAGACACTGAGACCTTTCTCACTTGCTGCTTTGTCAAATTAGGTGACCTTTAACCCGGTCATTAACGTTAACCAGCGGTTTGTCTTTTTTAGCTGGATAATGCAACCGACTTTGAAGAGAGGCGAATGATACGTGCTGCGTTACGGGAGCTGCTCAAGAAAAAGAGAGGTAAAATCTGATACTAGCTCCTGCATGCAAGTGACCATAATACTGTCTCCATATTCTAAATCCTCCGTCATCTCTCATCAGATAAACGGGAGCAGGATCGGGGGTCGAGGCAGCAGGACTTGAGGCAGCAGGGCCTGAGCAAAGGAGGGAAAACAGGCGGGGCTGTCAGCATAGGCAGAGCATCCATGACCCAGCAGCCACCAGCAAACAGTGCGTTTATAAAGACACGCTGTGATATCTCATGTTTCATTTAAAGGATTTCAGCTTCTTGATGTTGGTCTGATTCTCTGCATCTTTTCAGGGCCGTCAGGTCAGCCCTCTCCATCAGCAGGCAGGTGAGTCTATGATTTGCTCAGTCTTGGCATGTTTTGGTTCATTAACTATACAAAACAGATTCAAAAAAATGTAATCCCAGATATGCCCTCATCATTCGCTTATTTTTAATGCCTTTTTATTAAAACAATGTTGACTCTCCTTTTGGAACTTAAGTAGCCATGTCCACAAAATGGTTCATGGTGTGAGGTGAATCCTGTTTTAGTGTGGTGCCCCTGCTGAAGCCTGCCAGCATCAGTGTCTTAAACATCTAATGGGAGCTCTATTGCTGCAGAACAAAGTCTTCTTGTGTGTTAAGTAATCCACCCAATGAAGGAAATAAAAATGCATTTCCCAAGTTAAAAGATGAGAGAAGCCATACTTTCTGTACGTACGGTGTGTACCTCCTTGTCTTTGTCTCTTGTCCTCAGCGAGACCAGTCCCGCTGTAGCCTCAGCTCAGAAATGTCCTCCTGCTGCAGCACCCAACGTTAAAAATGTCAAACAGATGCTTCTGGACTGGTGCAGAGCCAAAACCGAGCCATATGAGGTAAACATGCCCGGACTCTGTGTCTTTGAATTATTGCCCACTGGAGCTCTGCATAGCTCTGCCTCGTATGGCTTTTTTTTTTTTTTTTGCCACTATTTCTTCTAAACTGATTCCCCTCTGGTGTGAAACAGGGGGTGGACATCCGTAACTTCTCCTCAAGTTGGAAAGACGGCATAGCCTTCTGCGCCTTGGTGCACCGCTTCTTCCCCGACGCGTTTGAGTACTCGATCCTCAACCCCAACAAGCCCAGGGAAAACTTCCAGCTGGCTTTCAACGCTGCAGAGTGAGCTGTCATTCCTTATATGAAGAGGCAGATGCATCTTGTCTGGAACAAACTCGTGCAGTGCAGATTTAAAGAATGACTTCACAGTTCTGTGTCATAGCAAGTCTCTGTCTCTGTCTCTCTGTCTCTGTCTGTCTCTCTGTCTCTGTCTCTCTGTCTCTGTCTGTCTCTCTGTCGCTGTCTGTCTCTCTGTCTCTGTCTCTGTCTCTGTCTCTGTCTGTCTCTGTCTCTGTCTGTCCGCAGGAGGCTCGCTGGCTGCCCCCCTCTGCTGGACGCCGACGACTTAGTCCGGATGAAGGAGCCCGACTGGAAGTGTGTGTTCACGTACATCCAGGAGTTCTACCGCTGCCTGGTGGAGAAAGGCCTGGTCAAAACCAAAAAGCGACCGTAGAGTCTGACAGCTTTCATGATTGGCAGTGACTTTCAATTTTTACAATTATTATTATTATTATTATTGCACGCATGAGGTCTGAGAGATACTATTGCTCACCTTTTTCAACTTAATATTTACATTTTGTCTTTGATCTTAGAGTTGCTATTTAGTACTTAATGTATCTGGCTGACGCATTATGTTACTGTAAATGCAGTATTTGTATCGGTTTGTGTATTAGCGGGGACTTGCGGATGTCTGTGCTCTCAGTGGACAGCTGGCTCTTAGGATCAGTACATTCCACTGAGATTACACATCTGCATTAATCCCCGTCAGAGCCATAGAGAATCTGGGAACAAATGTTATCATGATGCTGTTGAGGGCCTGCGAGTGTGAGTATTGCAGACAAAGTTAATAAATATCCATTCCATTATACATGCTGTTGTTGTCTACCTATAACTGATGATTAAACTAAATGGTACTGTAGATACTGAAGTGATTTATTTGCCTGATACATTATTCAGCAGCTCTTCGCCTTTTATTCAAAACTCTTTGGCCAGGACGTTATGAATGGATACAGTTTGTGTTTGCCTTGGGCTCGAGACTTCAACTTTAATGTCAATCTAAATCAACTTTCATTGTCGCACACAATCGAACGCAGCAGAGCACAATGTAGGGAAATTTAGTCTCTGCATTTAGCCCATGTTAGCATTAGGAGTAGCAGGCGGCTACTATACAGGGTTCGGGGATTCGGTGACTTGCTCAAGGGCCCCTCTGGAGCTCTGGCTCCCGAGTCAAGTTCCCACGAACTGAGCTGCTGCTGCCCCACAAACACAAAACCTGTTTCACACTTGGGGCATTGAGTTTAGAATACACGGGGTGTTTACTGCCAGGAAGGGCAAAAAGTAGGTTCCAGTGTTTGGTGAGCTTGACATACGTAGATTCTCTGCCTCTGCTTTTATTATAGACTTTATGGAGGTGCATATAATTCAATTTTATACTAATAATTCCTTAAATTATCATTTTTTTATATTTCTTTTAATGGGCATATTGACACATTGCACAGTTCATCCATCCATATATGTCCGATCCCAGCTGACATTGGGGGAAGGCACCCTGGACAGATCGTCAGGCTATGGCTGCACATTATGTGCTAAATAATGTATGTCCTTTACATACGATCTACAACCAAAGCTACACAAATAATAATAGTAATAATAATAATAGTCACAGTTTATCTTTTCAAGAAATCAGGACAATCTTAAAACTTGATAATGAAATGACTGTTTAACACATTTTTACAGAGTGACTAATGTAACTTTAGGCCTATAAGCTTCATTGATTGCATTTCACAGATAGGTAGCTTTGCCAGACCGAAATTTAAATATTGGCATGCTGATCAATTCCCCCCACCAGTGACGCACTAATGCCAGATTAATGCGTCACTGAGAGGACAGATGCTCAATTATTTCTGTGAGATATGTGAGAGAGAGAGAGAGGGTGAAAGAGAGAAAGGATGAGAGAGAGGATGAAAGAGGGTGAGGATGAGAGAGAGAGGATGAAAGACGGTGAGAGAGAGGATGAAAGAAAGGGAGAGAGAGAAAGGGTGAGAGAGGGAGGGGGGTGAGAGAGAGAGAAAGCGAGAGGGAGGGAGAGAGAGGATGAAAGAGAGAGAGAGGGAGGGAGAGAGAAAGAGAGGATGAAAGAGAGAGATAGGGGTGTGCGAGAGAGAGCGAGTTGCACTGAGAGCGCGCGTGACGGGTCGCTGAACGGCCGGTGTTCCGGAGGTGCAGGCGGGATGCTGACCGAAAAGTGCACAGCTGTTCTGCTATAGACAGTGACGCGTATGATGAGGAACAATCAGCTGTGTTGTATCTCAGTGTAAACATCAACATGAAAGAGTCCGGACGCATCCACCGTGACCGCCTCCTGTCTTGACAGCCCCGCGGCGCGGTCCACACCGTGACGGAGACGTCCGCTCAGGCTACACCGACAGGTCGCGTCCGTCCTGCAGGCTGGCTGGGTCGGAGACTATAAATCGTGGTATAGCCTTTGTGTAACATCTCCGTCGCGTTGATTGACGTGCGAGACAGAAAGCGGACTGATGTTCCCCCTCCGTGAAACCGAGAGATCACCTTTGCGGTTCACCTTGGAAATGAAATAATGGTTTAAAAAAACGCCTGAACGGTAAGATGGATGTTTTCACGAGGACGTTTTCACTGCAGCTGCGTGTTTGTGTTTAATTCCGCATGTAACATTGTGCTTTGTGGTGTTCTTCACGAGTCCACGCTCGCACCTTTGAAGATAATGAAGCTGTCGTTCAGGCTCATGGACTATGAAATGTGAAAAAGGGCCCACTTGTACTGTGCTGCTGTCAAAGTTGCCTTTTTTTTTTTACTTTTAAAGTGAGTTAATTACAAACCTGCTTATCGCCGTTAGTCAACGCTCCGTTTAGGACTGTGGTCACATGAGATGCTCTGTTACTGAGATACCCTAATTTGCATTTCATGAATGATTAACAAGAGGTGTATAATTTCTGTGTGCAGGGAGCACGTAAACAAGATGGTGGGAGGAGAGAGGCCCCTGTCCTATCATGTCACGAGTCCTCCTCCTTGTGACCTACAGAGTCTGTTGACATTGTCTGATGTGCTTCTTGATCTGCAGCTGTGTGAACTGTGCCCTGAGATAGGGATAACCTATATCACCTATAACCTATAACCTATATCCTATATATAACCTACAGGGATAATCCCTGAGACAGGCAGTAACCCGGCTCACACTGAGATCTCATGATGAACAATTCTGCCTTTTGCTTTGTGAAAGGGTCAGAAGGCTAATTAAAGTTGCTAGGCAACAAGGATATATTCGAGGAAGGAGGTACAAAGTTAGTTCCTTAGCCCAATAAGTGAGTAGAATTTTAACAGCAGATTCAGATTACTAATACAAAATCAAATCCACAAAATCAATTGTGATGTATTAGATTAAGCCACTCAGCAGTATATACAGTTACCACCTGCACCAGCTGCAACAGAAGAAGTAAAGCTTGCGCATTAATGCATCCATTGTTATAATCCAATGATATATATATATATATATATATATATATATGAAATGGGCCATTTTGCAGAATGAGTACTTTTACTTCAAATGCAAAACGTTTACTTGTAACAAAGATGTGAATACTTCTGTCACTGCCTCGGCCCCGTTGCCTACTCATGACAACATCATCAGTGATGCCTGAGCAGCATGATGTGGACAGGTGCTCAATGTAATGTGATGCATTCGCTCAGCTTCCACTCAGTGCCTGCAAACCCTTTGCTGTTGCACTGGTGTACTAAGGACTCACTGACTGATTGTTGGGTGCAGTCTGATTGAAGACACGATGAAGGGCAAAGAATGCTCTCTGCTATCATTGTCTTGCTTTAATGTTTGACTTGTCTTTGAAGATAAATGTGTAATAATGATCCACATGCTGCCTGTTGCAGATTGATGGATCGCATGCAGCAGAAACACATCAGCACTGACCTTTGTGGACCCAAAGTGCAACCTGGACCCTGCGCATGGATCGGAGTCAGTCCGGCTTCACCTCCACAGTTCGCAGTCCAGAAACCACCTCTCATCAGCCCATCAGAGGAGCCCCAGAAACAGTGTGGATTCAGCATCATGCAGGCTGCAGCTGCACCTGTAATAGTGACAGACCAAATGCAGTCAACGCAGCCAAAGTCTGGAACCACCCCAGCAACACTGGTAAGCATAAGCCGGCCAAGACCGACTGCTCTCGCAACTAAACCTGCTCCGAAGTCGACCAGAATCTCAGTGGACCCCTCCAAGGAAATAGATTTAATCCCAGTTTTTATCCCAGGACCTCAGAGTGCCAACGTCCTGTCACATTCCCCGACAGAGTCCTCCTTCTGCCGTCACAGTCCTCAGAGTCCCCGCAGCCCTCAGTCTTACACCAGCCAGCCTTACCTGAGCCCTAACCCTGGCCTGCCCCATCCCATTCCCAGCCTGAACTCTAGCCTAAACCCAAAACCCAGCCTCAGTCCTCAGCCTCAGAGGACCCCCTCACCCGGGAGCTCCACCCAGAACCAAGTGCAGTCTGAGAAGCCAGGTGGAGAAAACAATGACTTCAGGTGAGACAATTAATAACACCTTTACATGTCACATGAATCAAAGCTGCAAATTTGACTTTGAGTTTTGTGAACCTGGTAAAGTGACACAGACACATTTTGGAGATAAAGGAGACGATATGTGTTCTGGATAGGCTTTTAAGACTTGGGAGTTTGCTGCTCAAAACGATGAGCCATGTTGTGTGGAAATGAGACTAAGACACTAAGAAAACAAGAACATTTTGAAAAGAAAAATGTGAATTAGGTCACTTCTGACATTAAAATAAACAGCCAGCTCTCAGATCGTATTCATGAAAGTGCTCTTGAAGTTTTCAAAACAGGTTGTGTTCAGAAATAACATGATTTTAAGCAAATATTTGACGAAAACAAATACATGTAACATTTTCCTGGGATAGTTTATATTTCCAATTACTGTACATTGATTCTCATGTTATAGGCATTTAAAATGGACGGAACTAATCTCAAATCCCATGTTATGCTTTTGAAAAAGTCAGGACTGTAAATAATTGATTTGTATTGATTTTGCTGAAACATGCAAAAAAAAAAAAAACAACAACGCATGAAACAAGTCTATATATCTTTTGCAAAAACAGTTTTTATGTGATGGCAAAAATCATGAATCTTTTTTTTCCATTTATTTCTTGTCATTTTATAGACAATATGATCAATTGATTCTGTAAATGTTAGCAGCAGCTCTAATGAGTTGTGTTGCCTCTGGTGTTTCTGTAATAAAACAGTATGGCTGGTAGTTTCATTTCAAAAGACATTTAGTTCCATCTCTTTCTCTCTTCTAACACACACACACACACGCACACACCTCACCTTAGTCATCATCGAGGTAATTGTGCCTACCTTTATATGCTGAGTGTATATACACAAAGCTGATAACAGCTATTTCGCTGAGGATTACAGCACAGATTATGTCCTCTTTCACAGTACACAACATATAGTACTTAAATCGAATGCAGCATTTTTCACTGCTTCTAATCCCTGACAGGGTGTACATCGTCACATGGAACGTGGGATCAGCTGTCCCTCCAGATGACATCACGTCTCTGTTCGGACCAAACGTTTCAGATGGGAGCGTTGACATGTTTATCATCGGGTAAGCAAGTATTTCCACCAGGCTCAGCAGTGCCAGGGAGACAGCTGCGGGTGCCCACTCAGTCATCTGTGTTCGTTTTGATGCCTGTTACCCATCACTGTCCTTTTTTTCACTTGTTGATGACATTTCTCTACTTCTCTGGCACCACACAGACTCCAGGAAGTCAACTCCATGATAAACAAGCGACTGAAGGATGTTATTTTCTCAGACCAGTGGAGTGAGCTTTGCATGGACAAGCTGAGTCCTTTCGGATATGTTTTGGTCAGTAAGGAGTTAAACCTCATCATATCTGTCATACTGTAGATTTTGTTTTTACTCCTATCCCTTTTTTTTGCCATTATAAACTGTAGT